ATTTATTTTAACACAAATATATATTTATCATTTCAGTTGCAAATATATAATGTATTAAATATATGAAAGGAACTAGAATAAAAATAATAAATATATCAAAGGTTGAATAATTATATATATTACATAAATCAATATTATATTCAATCTTGTTTTCAATACAAGCGAGTGCGGAGACCTTATGAGTATTTGATTTATATATTTTATAACATCTTCCGAACAAAAACTAAAATTGCGCTTGTGGCAAATAGATAGACACCTATTATCCAGTAAAAATAAACAAAAACCCTATATTGAGAATTTCAAATCGTTTTATACTATATTGTATTGATATTTGAACATTTATCTATATTAATATAATATAGTTATAATCTAGTATTGATGTAGTTCTTATATTCACATAATAAGAAACATTTATTATTGGTTTTAATAAAAAATATAACATAATAATTGTGTTTCTATTCAATCTGTGAACCACGCAATAACTTATCAAACACATTTTCGAGTTAAATGAATACCTATCTATAAAATATAAAAGGTCATTATGTAATTTCATTAATTACGTCAAATTTATTATATGCACAATATGTTTAATTATTATAAATTGAACGCCAAGAATATTATGACACCTCTACAGAGAGATAATATTTTAAATCCTAATATGTTTTCTTAAAAATAATATTTAAAACACTATTATAAATAAACTGCAAAACAATTAGACATCTTTTAAAAACGATTTTTTTTACATCACTCCAAATCAGAAAATACCTACTATATTTTAAGACATTACGTACCATTATACCAGATAGGTATAGGTACCAGCTTTTATTTATTTTATAGACATTACCTACAAAATAATAAACAATTTTAATCAATTGAAATTTTAAACATTAACAAATTTGTACAAGCTTATTAATGTATCTGAATAAGCATAGAACATAGGCACGCGTTGCATTTCTAAATCAAGAGAATCGGATCGGATATTTTGTTTTATGGTGTTAAACGATAGTAACAAATAGCAATATTCAGGTTTCAATCATCATCATTTGAACATTCGGTTTAACAATATTATGCTGTTAAAACCGAGCGTCAGGCCCTATTTTTATACACTGCACTACAAATCGAGCAGTAACTATATTAAATTGTAAAATTATGACTTATATATTCCAATAAAATGTCCTCAAAAGTTGTTTGTTATTATAGTGGTTTTAAATCCTCACTTCTCCTCACATCTATATGGGGTCGACCAGCCTAGTTCCATAACTTTCCACTTGTCTCGGTCTTCTACATCGTTTATACACCCTAGTTAGTGGTCTTTATCATATCGCTATACATTTTGTCTAACCATCTCCTTTACGGTCTTCCTCTTCCTCTCTTTTAATCTAAATTCATGCGTAAAAACCGCTCATACTGTCTCTAAATCATCCCTTTTCATCACATGTCCAGCCACCAAAGCAAAATTACCAGGAAAATGGCGGTATGAAGATAAAATGCCAAAAATCGATGTTTAAAATGATATACACGATGTTCTTATATAATCGATTGTTTTGGAAAAAATAGAACCTGTTTATAAGGCCTATAGGCGTGAAATATGATTAGTTAATATTGGCATCTTGACAACTGACAAAATTATAAATAGTGCATTTTTTTCAATTTAAAGTTTTCACAAAATTATGTTTATGAGTGAAACAATGTTTTTAATGGTTTATTAAATTTCTTTTGTAATAGTTTGGCGCGTATACAAGGAGTGATTTCATGGACTCAACGCCCCCTCCTAAGAATTTTAAAACGCAGTACTAAACTGTAGAATAAAATATTATTCACTGCAAGAAAATCGTAATAATAATCATATACAATGAAAACGAAGCTTTAAAGAGTAATTTTTGTTTTTTATGAAATATCTTATACATCTTTCAAGTATAGGTATTTTTATCTATTCTGTACATAATATTATGTTATTATAGTCTGTCACGTATATTATATTTAAAGATTTTTTTTTTGAAGGCAGAAAATATTTTCTGTTAGATACGAATGTCTAAATCAGGTTCTTATTCTATTGTAAAATCGTCGAATTTCTTATTGTATTTGGAATCTAAAGAATACCTGCACGTCAAATAATTCGAACACGTTCGGTTCAATCAAAGTCTACTCCAATTTATCCGTTACTTTAGATTCTGATGGTAACAAGGAATGTATTGATTTAATAATAATCAATAATTTATTGATTTTATTGTGTCCTTGTAAACAACTTTTTTTACTAGACATCTTTCTCTGGTCATCATCTTCAGGTGAGATGTCAAGTAACATTTTTTCTCTATTTGCAGGTCCATTTAGGTGGTCATATTACTTTAATTTCTATAGAGAAAAACAATTAAAAAAACGTTAAAAAACAAGAATTTGACGAAACACTTCTTTTGTTATTATCGATTTTGTTTTTATTTTATTTTATTTGTATAATTCAGTTAAAAATAATCAATTAACTAATAACATTTCATTACATACTTACGAGTATATCGATGAGTACCTACTAGATGTACTAAAATTATTAAAACATTCAAAAAAGTAATTTTTGAAAACAATTAATAATTGTATTAACTCATGTTTTACGTTAAATTGTAATTTATTTTGTAGTTACAAATTTATAAAACTTTAAATTCAAATTAAAATATCAAAACATATTTGTATAACAGAATTTCATTAAAATTCGTATTTTGTTTGCAATGATTTATCAAACAGAATACCGGTATAAATTAAATAATTACTCTATACACATATATCCTAGGTACTTTCCACATTTTTTTCATCTACAAAAGTGGCCCATCTACAATGTGTAAGTATATAGGTTATAGTATATAGGTACTCGTATCTAAAAACCCTATTTTTATGTGCAACACAAAATCCAATGTATGTTATCCGAAATTGAAATCGTTTAATAATAATAATAATTATGATGAGCTCAAAAATGTGCGTACTCGCAGAGGCGCTAGGTTTTGAAAATATCATGAGGGGCTCACTCTTTGATAAACACATATACAGTTTCACCTGAATCTTACCATATATTTCCTGTTTTTATTTTCCTTAAATTGTTGATTAAAAAAGTACTAAAATATAGTTATTTGCTGTTTTGTAAATTTTAAAATTGTATAGCATTATGAAGAATCACAAGACAATCCACACTTTTTCTCTGCTATTAATATCATTAAAAAAAAAAACAAATCCAACATTACAAAGCGTTACCGTCTCGCCTAAATGGGATCTGATCAAATCATTATTCAAACTTTGATTATTTTAACACCTAATATTTTATACAAATGTCCAATAGAAATGATTTAATTTTTGTCAGCTATTTAATATTTTGATTAGCTATTATTATATTATTATGTAAAATTACTATTAATAAATTTGTTTTAACATAATCTTTGATCGTTTTTTTTATTTTTGGTTCACTCATTTTAAGAGAGAAAAAACTAACAGGCATACAACTTAAAAGCTGAAGCAGTGATGCTTAAAACATAAAATACTTGAGAACGTTAAATCGAATCATTTAAAATATTAAAGAGATTTAAGACAATACTAACAATAATAATATACAATCTAATAAAACAAATAAATGGTGATAACTAATAACACACTATTTTGACAGTTCAATATTGATAAAAAGATACAATTACAATTATAAATAAAGATTATTTGAAGAGAGTACAAATATTAACAATATACGTATATTATCTGTGGAGTGCATAGAAACCCGACCATCTGGATATTGATAAGAGACCGTAATCATATTATGCAATGAATTAATTTGCTGCGTTGGGATCGAGACGTAAAAAGTATAAAAAGCTATTCTAGGATAATGGGGACGGATGCAGCCACTGTTGTAGGTGGGAAGTTAGGAAGGACACAGCAAGAAGATTGACTGTTGCTAACGAAAAACGATTCTGAGTGGAATTCAGTTAATAGTATTGCTTTTTCAATAATATATATGCCATATTATGGTATAATAATTAAATGGCATTATATATTTTCTTTACTTTGTTCAATATTATACATATTTTCCCGGTTTTTACCATGCTTTTCCCAATAATTGAAAAAATTATTGGGAAAGTCAAAAAATTAACCTCCAAAGTACCTTCCCAGTCAGATTTCCTTTCAGAAAAAGTGCTATTATTACAAATTGGAGCAAGATCTCTGGTAAAAATGTGTCTACAGAAAAAAAAAAATCAAATAATCGGCCTTTTTTTACTGTGAATAACTTTTCTACCAGAAATTTTGCTCCGATTTACTATGATGGCATTTTTTCTAAAAAAATATCTTATTGGGAAGGTCATAATTGAAGTCAATCTACGGAAAAACCCAAGAGTTTTCCCAGAAAATGTGAAAAATCAGAAAAACACTTGGGAAAACCGTAGTAAAAACGGGAAAATCCGGTCATTTTACGATTTTCCAAAGAATTTTCCCAGCAAGTAAAAAACCGAGATAAAACATGGAAAACTGAGAAAATCGGTGCAACATTAAACAAATATTATTAAAGAAAATATATAATGCCTATTTAATTGTTTTATCATAATATGACATATTGTTGACAAAGCATCACTATTAATTAAACTCCGTTCAGAAATATTTTTTTTTCGTTAGCAATGGTTTATCGTTGCTTACATATATACATTAAATTCCCTTCTGTATCTTACCTTTTTAACTTTCCACCTACAATAGTGGCTTCGCCCATCCCCATAATCCTAGGATAGCTTTTTTTGTTATTTTCTGCTGGTACAAATTCTACATTTTCACCACCCAATTTACACCACTGACATCATGGACTATTACTGATGTTTAAATGGCTTTGAAACTAAGGCTATACTACTTGAATATTTGTACCAATATATATATATGTAATATTTAACTGATAAGAATATATATAAAATAAAACAAGCTAATATCTTATTTTTTGTACCTTTCATGTATCTTATATTAAAGTGCCAAAAGTAAAGTATTTTGTAAACCGAATGCCATTTATTCATGAAGAAATCATTAACAAATCAAGGTAAGCTGTTATTTAATTTAATTTTATACTTAAATCGAATCAAATAAATTTAATTATTTAATAGATTAATATTAAGAAAAAACTGTCCTAGGATAACGGGGACGGGTTCAGCCATTTCTATAGTTTATTTAATGTATATTTGTTGTTTTTTTTTCGTGTCAGGTTCATAATATAACAACAATAATAATAATTTCAATAATGGTAACATAAAGAAACAATGCATAATATAATAAAATAAAATAAAAATAAAAAATAACGTATATTTACAAGTAACATAAAGTTAAATAAAATATAATGTGTAATATGATATGATAATATAGTTCAGTGTTATAAGGAAGTTATTAGTGGGTATTTTTTCGGTCTAGATGCGGGTACACATAATTCTTTGACTTGTGCCTTTTTGGATGTCTTCTGGAGTGTAGGTGTGAGAGCAAGCTGTGCAAGTGATGATGTGTTGCATTGTGTATTCTTCTCTTCATAGGCACAAGGTGTTTACACTATCTAGGGGACCTGTGTTTTACCTGGGTTTAGTTTTAGGTAATTGCGCCTATAATATTTCCCAAGTACGTTCAAATTAGCCGCTAATTTTTTCTATATTTTCAAAGCTTTCATACTGTACTACGATTGCTGTGTTGTTTGCGTAAATGCAGTGTTTTACATCGCTGTTTGTGGATATTGGTTGTTCGTTTATGTAGATGTTAAATATAATAGGAGCTACCACAGTTCCTTGAGGGAGACCATTTTTGGAGATTCTCCGCCTACTATTCTTGCCTTAATGATTTACAAAAAATCTTCTGTTACTTAAAAGGGCTTCGAAACTTCTTACAAACTCGAAATCCATTGTTAGCATTAATCTATGGTTTACCGTGTCGTAAGCTGCTGTTAGATCCACGAATGCCACACCTGTGATTTTTGTTTACAAAACCATTCTCGATTGTTTGAGTCAAATTGAGTATCTGTCCGGTACATGATTTTCTTGTGCGGAAACCAACTTTTTCATTAATTAGCTTACTGTTCACGAAGGATAATAGCGATTATGCAGCACTCTCTCAAAAAGTTTGTACGTGTGGCACAGAAGGGATATTGGACGATAGTTCTTGGGGTCATCCTTATTTTTCCCTGGTTTTAATAATGCTACGATTATAGTTTTCCTCTATATTCTAGGGATGTTTTTCCGGTTTCTTATTTCGTTATATAAAGCGAGTACCTAGAGTTTGGCTTTCGGCCCAAAATAATATATCTGTTCGACAAAAATGTTATCTAGACCGGCTGTTTTCCTTGTTTCATTGTCTATATAGCTGTGATCAATTCATTCTCATCAAAAGACCAGCTGAGGTGGTTCCCTTCCTTTTTTAAGTTTCTTGTTATTGTTTTGTTAGGTTTATCTTCTTTTCCGAATTTTTGAGTTTTACCGTTACATAATAATTGGTGAGCGATTTAATTGGGAGTGACGTTCCAGAGTCCTTTCGCGTTAGTAGGATCACTGTTTAGCCTTTTGATTAAGCCCCACGTTTTTTTACTACTATGTTTCATGTCCGTTTTCCCTAAAAGTTCGTGCCATTTATTTCTTTTTTCTTGTGCAATAGTATTTGTAGGCTCTATCCCTTTGTTTATGGTTTGTTCTTGAAAGGATTATTTTCAAACAGATTGATATAAGAGTTACAATTGTCCATGTTCTCGCTTGATAGTTCAGGTACGTGATATTTCTTACATCCTCTTGGTATGTGTTTCCGGGATATATGCTTTACTTTTTCAACAAAATTTTTCTATTGGAGCAATATTTATGATGCATGATAAGCGCAAAAATTTAAAATAATGAAATTGTTGCTCTACGCCCCGTAATTTGAATAAATCGTATTTTTATCGTTTTGAGTTTTCCCAATTATTATAAAAATTCTTTAAAAAATCAAAAATGAAATTTATGATGCTTCAATAAGGGAAAATTTTCTTTCAGAGAAGATACTACACTCTATCATAGGAGCAAGATTTTTGGTTGAAAAGTGGTTTACAGACAGAAAAAATTACATATCATAATAAAACTTAACACATCATAAAAGTTGATCCTTATGTAGTAGTATTTTAGGAGAGGTACTTTAAAGAGGTTATTTTACAATTTTTCCTAGAGTTTTCCCAGTAAGTAAAAAACCGGGATAAAACATGAAAAAACCGACAAAAACGTAGGAAAATTGGGAAAATCGGTACATTAAACAAATATAATTAAAAAAAAAAAATAAAGCCTATTTAATTATTTTACTATAAAATGACATATATATTGTTGACAAAGTATCACTATCAACTGAACTTCGCTCTGAATCGTTTTTTCGTGAGCAATGGTTTATTGTTGCTTACAATTATACATTAAATTACCTATAACAGTAGCTGCACCCGTCCCCATTATCCTAGGATGTCTTTTTTGTTATTGTTTTAAAGCAAAATTGTGATGAAACTCGTAAATATTACAGCATTAAAAAACATTGCTCAGTATTGTATTTTCTGAGCAATGGTTTTTAATTGCTCATAGATTTAAATTAAATAACTTTATATACCCTGCCCTCCTAATTAAAAACAGCAGTAGAACACCCAGCAGCAGTGTATCTCCTTTTTTGTATAAATAAAATTTTTATCTATGAATTTTGTATCATATTATTAATTATTTAATGATTTCAGTGATTGTTTTCAACGGGTCAGTTGGAATATATTGAACCAGTCGATATCAGCATTGGTTAAAAATATTAAAAGCACGTTGATAAATGATATCCCGAAAATTAAAAACAAACTATTGTACCTAAACATAATAACCGGCAAAGGTTTATTGTGCTCAAGTATTATGCGAGAACAGTTAAACTCAGGGATGGATATTACATATAAATACGCTTTTCTCATGTCCCTCATTAACTGCGAGGTAAATAGTTATAGTAGAAATTTTAAAATACTCTTAAGAGGGCATCAAAGTAACATTTGCCGTCTCTGTCTATTTAATGGTTATATAGAAAAATTTTGTTTTTGTGCTTTCAATAGTACTCAGGATTTTAAAGACCTTAAATAAAAATCATTTTACCAAATTAAAGACAAATATATTTACTATATTTTCACGATGTTTTGGATTTGATGAAAGCTTTTTCCTATATATTTGTACACTAAATTAAAAAAAAAAAAAATTATTTATCATTTTTATTGCCTTTATAGAAAATTGTGTGACCAATATATATAAAAATCCCTTAGAAAAACATATTGAATGGTTTTGTCTTAAATTTGATAAAATAATTTTTTTTTTAGGATCCTGAGTAATATTGGAAGTACGAACACACATTTTTGTTGTATTAACTGTTGAATAAATAGATAATTTCATCTTGAAGTTTTATTTATTATTATTAATAAAAATATTTTGATATTTTTAGTTTTCTGAAATAGGAATACTTCTTTTAAAGAGGTGTTTACATAATTTCTTTTGCGAGTATTATAGATCTGCACTGGACAAACACCCAACGCATCGTTTTTCATATCTATCATTTATTGCCCATTTAGTAAACTACGGTTTGGTAAGTCTTAATTTATAATTTACTTACCTACTAAATATGTACGTAATATACCTTTTTATTTAATTATATAAAAATATACGAGTGTATAAACGATTGATTATGTATGTATCTAAATAATGAGCATTGAATAAAAGATATGAAATAAAAATGGAAGTATAGCAGAAATTAGAATGACAGTCTTAGCGGTGTGAATATGTTGAAAAATACTATAAATTAATATTAGGTTTCCTAGCAAATTAAAATTATATATAAACATATTATATAAGAAGAAGATAAATGAATATTGATGAGTCAATCAGTTAAGTGTATGTTAAAATTCGAGCAAAAGAAAGTGACTAGAGGTTATAAGCAAGAAAAATAAATATGATGGTATGTGGAATAAATAAACAAATGACGATGAATTGGGAAACGTGTAGGGTGAGGATATGACTAACTGGGTCCATTTGCATGTGTGGGATAAATGTGAAGAACAATGCCATCACCAGGGGTAGACCAGGATGGATGACCCTAAATTTTTTTCTAAACATCTGGATCACTCAGTATAAATGTATAGTATTTTTATATTATGTTACTTACATCATATTTTAAAATATATAAAACGGCCCAAATAAAAAAAAAAAAACAAAATTCTTCACTTAATTTAAAAATGATAGTGATAATATATTTAAAACTATTGGTTACAATAATTTGAAAAATGCTAAGTCCAATAAAGGGTTATTAAGTAGGTAATAAAAATATTGATAAACATGAGAATAGTATTTTATGATAGATTAACATACGAAAATTAATAAAATAGAAATTCTGTATTGTCACAAATAAGTAATCATCATACAATAATAATCAATGGAAACAGGCAGTATATTGAATGAATAATAATTTTACTATGAAAGGCATTGCATTTAGTGAAAATTTTGAGAATAAATCTAGTATGAATGGGAATAATTTTTTAGATCTAATGAATGTCATTTTTTGATTTTGGAAAGTAGTAATAAAAAAAATGTAATGGTCCAATAAATATTAGGTGCCTACACCATTCAATTCAAAATGAAATATTTCACATAGTAGCTAATATGATAATAAATTACATTTTTCAGAACTAAACTAGTCTTTTTTGCAATTATTATACACATTAATAATAATGTTATAAGGCATATTGTAATTTTGAAAATGTATATTATTATTTTTAAAAAGAAGTGCAGGTCTTAATTGAAATATTTGGTTAATGTCGACATACTCCTGTTAAATTGGTAAATGTTAAAAAATGAAAAAAAATGTAGACATTTACTAGTGAATGTTGACATTCACATCAAGATTTTGATCAATGTTGACATACTTATTTGCACATTAAGTATAGACTATAAATTATACTATTATTATACAAATGCAATATAACAAATAGGTACGTGTTTAATTTATTTAATTTTCATTGATATTAAATTTTCCTTAGATAGGTACCGAGAACTAATTTCTGATGTATAATTAATTTACAACATCATTTTTGGTAGCTAATATATAAAATCATTATCTACTACCTATTTCTAATACTAAGGCTAAAATATTTGTTAAATCCATTTTATTACGATCAACATCTGGAACTCAAATACGGACAGTTTCCCCAACTTTAGCCTGAAAAAACTTTTGTTTTAAATAAGAAATTTATAAAGCTATTAATAAGTTGTAAACTACCTAGAGGCTTATCCACAAAACAATATCGGCATTACCAACATTCACCGAAATCGTTATATAAATGTCGGCATTCACTAGTGAATGTTTACAAATAGTACAAATTTAATAAATTTACCAATATTCACTAATGGCTGTGGTGGTGTGTCGACATTAACCGGTGACTGTCAATATTAATCAACTGCAGATATTCACAGTAACATATTTATAATGTTCTCAATAATATATGGAAGAAAGAGAGCATTACTGATGTTTTGAAAATTGGCTAGTAACATATATTACCCTCAACAGTGATGGTTTTTTTTTCTTTTAACCTATAACTGTAACCAACTTATAAGTGATATAGGTAAAGTGATTCTCATTAAGCCACAGGCCCTTTTTATTAACCATTAGTCTCAGTTTGGCCCACGCAGATAAAAATCCTAACGACATGACTGGCAAATAATGTATATATTATTTAAATGATTTAATTTGATTTTTGTATTCATATTTTATTTAGGCCCATCCAATTGTAGCTGTAGATTTGGTCAAGTTGTTTCTAAAAAAACCCACTGAAGAATCAATTAAAATGGCCTTTATAGTCATACATACATGTGGGCATCACATGCGAAAAATGTGTTCTGTGGATATGGACGATATAGCAAACACAGATCTTAACAGCTTGGGAAATATCGATAGTGGAGTAAATTAATATTTTTATACATTTATTTTTATTATTTAGTTAATATATACAAGCGAGTCTTTTACTATAAACAAACAATTTCTTGTTGGACTTTAAGTGAATTTGATTTTTGTTTTTCAGTTCAAATCGAAAGAGTTACCAACAATAAATAATAAATTATTTATCATTTAAATACAAATAGGTATGCAATTTATTAGTGGGGGGGGGAGTTGCTATTTAAAAATCCAAAGTGAATACTTGTTTCATATATAAGGAGTAGGAATAAAAATTTAAAATAGTGTTAAAATAAAATTTATACGGTTCCATAATGATAAAAAAAAAAACAGAAATCAAATTCTCAAATTCACTTAAAATCCTTTGAGAAAATTGCTGGTTCGTGACGTTCATGATAAAAGAATCTCCCTGTATATACAATATACATTTTACATTTCAACAATTATTTTTAATACACACGTTTAGATTTTGAGCGCTGCAAGAAATTTATTTATTTTACTATGATACCTATGTACTTTTTTTAATTTTTATGTTTACCAGATATCTCACTCCAATCATAATTGACAATAATATTTTAATATTTTAATATTATAATATTTTTAATCTAGTTGGTGAATTATGGAGATCATTTCTGTGTACATTTCTGATTTTTTAAGTACTTTTTATTATACAAGAAACTCTTTAATAACTATGATTAAATTCTATTTGTAAATTGTACTTAACTAGTATCATAATATATATTTATAAAATACATTTTAAAACAAAAACAACAAATGCACATTTGTTTACAATTAAAGACTTATTTTAAACAAAAACAAAAAAATAAATTAAAAACTTTTATTTATTTTTGCAACTATGCAAAACGTATTTATTTTATGTTAGTACCAACCATGGTCATTTACAGATAAGATAACCATAAAGAGCTTAAATGCTTATTTTTACCAAATATTCTTGAAAATATGCGTGTAGTACGAACACGAATAAAATATTATTAAACAAATATGTAGCCGACTTAAAGAGTCATTGTGGAACATTTTAATATCTAATAGTATTGTTATATATATTACTCAACTAGAATAAACTAATATATTATTATATGACGTTATATGATCGTTATATTGTTAACCTACGAATTTAATATGACGAAGATTTTATTTAATACCCATTCTATTTCTTACTTTCTATTACCTATAGTTATTGTTTATGATTAGGTACCTAAATCTGCATTCATTCCCTTCATTGATAACATTACCTATTTATTAAAATACTTATCATCTTTAAATGTATAATTTATAATTTATTTGAAATATAATTTAACGCATTTAATGTTTATCATATTTTAGGTGAAATTCAAAATAAATATCACGATATTCGGCTTGATTAAAAATAATAAGTACAGCAGCATCAAATTTCCTACTATAGGAACGATTGATTATAAAAATACTCATTTGTTTAAATTAAACGACTATATAATCGATCCGGAAGCATACCTCAGTAATTCAATATTTAATTTAAACAAAATAGATTTTTTTTTTTTAAATAAAAATTTTTTTTTTGTTTTAGACTATTATGCTTATAAACCAACGTGCGATGCCGAAACATACCGGTTATATTACGAGCAATTTATTTTAACGGAAAATAACCGGGACAACTACTTGTTGATTTACGATATTCATGAAGGTTTACAAGAAAATACTAGTAAGAATTATTATCGTATTTACATAATTCTATATAATATTGAGAAATTTTAGTTTCTAAATAGAGCGAGGAAGCTTATAATTTTACAAAGATGTTTATTATTTTCATTTTACCTGTGCGTAACTTTTCTACCAGAAGACTTGCTCGGATTTCTAAGTGTAGCACCTCTTCTGAAAGGAAATCGACATGGGGAGGTATTTTAAAGAGATAATTTTTCGACTTTCTTAATTTCTTAAATTTTCTAAATTTTAGCCATATACACAGGATGCTGAACCTCATAGAGCCTATTGAAAAATAAAACTCTTGAAATCTATGATGAAAACTAGTGATGTGACATAAATCTAGATTATCAAGAAACTCTAATTATTGATTTTGATTTTTCTATGTTCAAACAAAGTGTATTAAATGATTTTTATAAAAAAAATTTTAAACATCCGAAATCTGGATTTTAAATTAATTTTTGATTTTGGATTCCAAAACGGGAATGCCCGGAAAACGTTACAATATCAAAATAGTTTTATATTCTGTGATTTATCGCTGTCAACATATCATCAATGACTATTCTATCAGAACATGCATTGCAATGTATTTTCCCAAGAACCTATCTAGAATTCAAAACACAAAAACCGCAGTTAGAATGTCTAAAAATGTAGATGGATGTATATTCTCATCCAGATAATCTATGATTATTATTGTCATGAACCTACATAAATGATCATTCAGAAAATTAGCCTTCACATCAATTAAGGCAATACTGTCGGACAGTAATATTTTCCATGCATTTTGATGACTGCTATTATTCAAATAAACAAATTTAATCGAAATAAATAATTTATTATGATTTAAAACGCCAAAGTGCCCCGATCAAAATTGCTAAAACGCAAATATTGTGCGGCCGTAGCTTTAAATATAGGTGGCTGGCAAGTTCACGTTTCCGCGATTAATTGCCAAATATCAAGCTGTTTTGTTATTGTTCCACCTGAAACGCAAAACGTGACTATGGGGCCACCCGTATCTATTTAAATTATTTTGATAAAATCCCTAAATAACTAAAATGCTATCATTATCGCCGAAACGCAGAATCGCTTTTATTGAGACCGTAGGTTTCGTGTTCCGTTATGGTTTCATATGCGTAATATTCCTACTGAACTGCCACGAAGAGATTTTTGTTATAGGCATCCACCTAATTTTGATTTTTGTTTTTTAAGATTATTAAACAAATAAATATGATAATATTATGTACAAGAGACCGTCAATTTGGAAAAATCTGCAAGTATTATTCGGGTAACATCAAAAAAAAAAACCAATTGGCAATAACAACTATATTATATTGTACAATATAAACTAAATTCCCACAATACGCCTTTAAATCTGTAAATTAGTATGTTTCTTTTTAGAATACCTAAATGTCAAATAACTGCCTTCGTATTAAATGTCTCGAAAACCTCAGGCGAATATGTATGATATTCTATGTCAAATAAATAAATAGGTCGGTATACCGTTAAGTGGTTTTTTTTTCCAATGATGTCATTTATCGGGTTAGGTGTATTTTTGTTAATTAAACGAATTTTTTATATATACTGTTAGATAATGCCGTCAAAAACTACTATTCCTCTATGATTAGATTAGGTGGGTACCTAGGTGTGTTATATACATAATATGATTACTATGTAACTATCACCCAAAACAAATTTGTCAAAATTTAATAAAGCCTTCCACATTTGTTTATATAAAAATACACATCATATTATATTTGTATAATTTATATATATTGGTATCTAAGTAAGAATATATCGTATACAGATGCCAGAGATAGATAATTAATAATAAAAAGTACAATATGAAATATGACACACAAACACTCAAGTTTTTTTTAATAATCCTTCGTTTTCAGTTTGAATATCTAAAATATTGTGGTTGTTTTTCGTAATTTTAATATAGGTATACATATTTTGTTTACCTAATAATTCAGTAAAATATTTTTTTTTCGATTACTGGGAAAGTTGTACTCACACACTAGGTACTATATTATATTAATATTACCAGAATGCCGTTTTTTCCACGAAAAACATTTTTCCGGTTAATAAAAATTCTGCAAAAAATTCCCATTTGTATTTTAAAATATGAGCATTTTACATTCGGTGATATAGTTATATATGCATTTTTCTAGATTTCCAAAAGTATTTATAAAAAAAAAACAAACTATAAAATATGACAATACACCGGTTTTCGACAAAATATAGGAATATAGCGTTGAATTTTAAAATTGTAACGTTCAACTTTATAATGTTCAAAGAACGTATTCGTAATTTTTAAATGTAACATCACATATATATGTTATCTTTAAGAACATTTAAATTGGACATGTTCTTAGTTTCCTACTTAATCAACTATTTAGGAAAAATTTCGAAAAGATAAAATGAAGTAAAAATTATAAAATATCATGATGAGTAATAATACCTAAAAATAAATTAAAATTGTATTCAATATCGCAACAAATAAGAATAAATATTATTAATTATCAATAATTATTACTTTTCAGTGGCAACCTACAATGTGAAAAATATCCCAAAAAACATGAAATTTATAAAACGTACGATTTCCGAATTAGTAACGAATTGGTTTATATTTGATTACGAGACAAATGCTCGGAAATTAATGAAACTCAAAATCGAACAAGGCCAAGAAACAATGGTGTGTGCTTTGTTAATGAAATTGTGTTATACAACAAAAAATAATTATGCGATTGTTGAACGAATTGGATACATAACACAAGTAAAATTTTAATTTAACATTATAATAAATCATCATTAATTTTGATAGTTTTCTTTGTCTATTAGAACTTAAAAAGTACAAAAACAATTGCTATACAATAAAATAATATATCCTTATAGATAAGGGATTTCTATAATATCACATTGATGATTTAGAATGATTATTTCAACCCCCCCCCCACCCACCTTCACACACACACATATTCATTTTTAAAAATATGAATGAATTTTTTACTGTTTAAAACTATCTGAAAAATAAATATTGGAAGACCTTAGGTATTAGATGTGAACCATTAAATATACTAATTTATTAACTGTTAGGTACATATTATATATATTTATTTAGGTATAAAGTAAATAAAGAGTAGAATACGTGTGATTAATTATATTTTACATTATTATATATTTCTAATAAGTGCTATAATTAGGCTTCAGTATCAACATTTTAGATGCGGTAAATTCTATATCACTTTTTATATAAAACATAACAATAATTTAGCATTTCATTAAATACCCAGGGTTCTGATTAATCAATAGGATGAAAAGGCTCCAACCTAGAGTACAACAAAACAATTTTTTTTTTTAATAGATTTCTTTCAAACTTGTATAATATATCAATGACCATAGACATTGCCAGACCTTTTTTGAGAGGTATGAGTTCCCAAATTGGGGAGAATTTGGCCGATGATAAAAAAAGGCCCTATACGTATCTATGCCCAATATACTACATAAATGTTAAACAAAATATTATTTATAAATGAATAACTTTACGATGACGAGTGATTAGGGTGGGAAATAGAGAGTAGCATAATATTATAAATATTTCGATTAACTACGTTTTGATTATTTTTCGCAGATATTTGTTCAATTGGACGAGTTTTTTGTTAAGCCGCTGGAGCAATCGTTTCCTCATAATTATTTAAACGCCCACATTTTTAATCCTATTGAGATAATATGCATATCCAAGTATTATGCACACCTCTTATTTAGCGACACGATATCCTGGGATGTTTTTTCCATCATCGATATTAACACAATGGACAAAAACAATGATTCACGTCAATTAATTTTTGTTGTAACCCTGTTTTACGAGTTGTTAAACAATTTAGGATACGATAATTTGGCTAATAGAATTTGCAGCGAGTAAGTAAAATTGTTTAATTTATTGCACATATTCATAAATATATTTTATTTGCATAAGTGATAACTAGTATAAACCTACATTTACGTGATGTCCTATTGCCTAATTTAAAATACTTACCCATCTACCCATACATAAATCGATTGTTATATTTGCGTTTCAGATTTAACATAAAAGCGTTTGAAAAGATATTCCTCCTGGATGGAGCAATTGAACTTTTCCAATCGATGAAATTGGAAAAATTCGTGTAAGTATTTTATGAAACACAGATAGGTTAAGTGTATTTAAATTGGTTTAGTACTTACGTTTCAATTTTTAGCTACATGTACAAACAAAGTTACAATTCAATGAAGTATTACCTGAAAGACAACTAAAATTATCAGTGGGCTGATCAACTACAGTATCGCATCGTTCTTAACCGTTTCTAAAATAAGTATGCCTAATATAAAATAAATATACTTCCCATAAATAAAACTGATAACCAACCGTACTATTACGTTTAACATAACAAAATACTATTGCCTGATGCAGTTAACACAACGTATTGTATTTGTAAGATTTAATAATATTATCTATTTAAAACAAGTGGCTCTAATGTTTTATTCAATGTACCTACGTCTAACTACGTTATTAGTATATAAATACTAAAAGACTATTAAAAACATATCTATGTCTAATTTAGAATTTTAGATAGGTAACCCCCCAACCTTTGTATAATAATATAGTATCGATATGTTTTTATTTTTTTTTAAACAACCGTCGGGACAGCCAATAATTATGCTTATAACCTAAATTGTCGAATTATTTTTTTCACGGTTACAATATTACTGTCCTACTTTTATAAACACAAACCAAATAATAATAACAAACAATAGTACTATTAAAAAAAAAAAAGAAAAAAAACAAGTACGATTATAACAGCGATATAATTATAATAATATGATCCAAATCATAATATTTTGATTGGCTTGTAGGGTTAGTTTAGGTATATTGTAGGAATAGGTAATAATACAATTAGGCATTATTACCTTTATTTTATTAAAATCGTTTTTATTAATGCTAGTTTAGCTGTCGTAGTCGTCATCGTCATGGCCAGTTTTATTTTCTATATATCTTTATCTAAAATAACTCGCTCAACTCCTATTATAGCTGGATAAAATAATTCTGGTGCCAAAAACTCGTAACAATTCTAAAATTATATTCATTCTCTATTACTTACACCGCTGTGGCCGTATATTTACAAGCTTATAAACGGTACTCAAATAAATATTTTTTGAACGATAAAAATTATTATTTTTTCGATAACGTTATTAAAATACAATAATCGTTAACCATAATATATAGAAGACACAATGCGTTAATGTTTTTAACTCCGTCTTACAAACCCACAACATACTATTAGACACTAAAGTAAATTTGCGTTTAGCCAGATTAATTTCATGATGTTTCTTTTAAAATTAGAGTAGATTGACCTATTAACAAATAGGAAGATTATCTGTCTTTGTACATTGATTTTTTTTGTAAGCAATATTTGAGTGTGTGAATATGACAGTTAAAAAAAGCTCATACCTACTTAAAAATGAAAACACCCACCCCCTCAAAAAAATAAAAAAACAAATAACATATAAATCGCGCAGATTATTTTATTTTCTGTAAGTTCGATAATAGGTAAATTTACTCCAATTTTAAAGATAACAGTACAAAATTGGTTCTGTTAGATGTACATTTGCTATTGGCACCTTTATAAGGAGATGACAAATGTATGTGTAGGTACCTATAATAATAGCATCCTATAACATGTTAAAATAGTTATAATGAAACTTCGCATTAAATATTATAATGGGTACTAGTATAAACACAAATGTTAAATACCTATTTTAAAAAGCAAAATATGCATATAATATACTACGATATCCCAGAGCGTTCTAATAATAACTACACATTATATAGATACCCAAAAACGGATGCGTTAAAAATAAAAGGTGTGTCTACGCTAAAAATATTTTTAAAAATTATAATGTACTTGTAAAAATAACATCAGTGAGCAGCAGAGCTCTATCAATCAGAGTTGACTTTTACCAGCCGTAACGTGTTGCTGTTACAATAAGTTATATTTATTTTATTTTTATTTTTTTATATAATTGATCTGAAACAGCTATGGTGGCCAAATTTGCTTATGGACATTAATAACGTTATACTGTATAATTAAATAAATGAAATGTATACTCATTTATAATTTAAGATTTATAATAAAATTATTTTGGTTAAATTAGGGCCCAAAGAATGCCCTGTATAACTAATTTCATTAATCCGGCTCTGGTGTTAATTTTTCAAAATAAGTATTAGAAATGTCGTCTCAACCACCGCGTTGTCTCATATAAATTTATAAATAATTATTTAGAAACCTACCTAATAATATTTTACTTTATATAATTATTGTGCTGAACGAATTCTTAAACATTATGGCCTAACCTAAAAACGCTGTTTTTTCAATATTTCAACAACGCATTTCTCTCCTATGCAGTAGGTAGATAAGTAGGTAGGTACAATAAAACACGCCGTCAATTGGTTTTGCAGCAGACTTGTGTTATATAATATCGAGTTTCGACAGATATAATGCTTAATTTTAAACACGTCGGGTATGTCTGCTGTCATTCGTTCAGAACCGCATAGTATATAACTTTTCCAGAAGAATCGATATATTAAGTGCACTTAAATTATATTTAATTCATTAGTTTCAGTATAGATTAATTTTGTACATAAAATAAAAAATTGAATAGATTATAATTTTTAGCTGAATTTATAGGAGAAAATTATTATTTGATATATTTAACTGCTCCTGCTATCACAACCTACCTAGCTGTAAAAATAAACTCAATACAAATTAAAGCATAACTCGATTTTAACATGAAGCTTTTGGTTAAATATTCAAAAAATTTAAATACCTAACAATAATAATAATTTATCGCCATTATATCTTTATATGATGTTTATTTTTACAAATAGGAAATAAACAATAAAATATTAAATTAATCCCTATAAAATAAACAATAATGTAGGCAGGTATTTTTTTTATATTAACACTAAAATAATTAGGTGAACGAATAATTATATTTGAAACTTTCTCGCAGGAAATAATTCTGGCCAGCCGACGATGAGTTAGGGAATGTCTAGTTTTTAGTTTAAATATTTTTTAACATAGATTTATTTTTAACAATTTAACAACAATAGATATAAATCTGTATAGGTGTTTAATTTACGGGTATATAATAATAATAATAACAAATATTGTTAAACAGTACTTAAGTATATAGTATTTATGTTAAGTGAAGAATGTTTGTTGTAATATTCAATCTTGAATATGTACCTTTTTTTTATTATATAATAATATATGTAACTACACACAGAAAAAGTTGTGTACAATCGAACTTGTCCCATTTCTAAAATAATATATGTCAACTACCTATCAAAAATATAAAACTTTGTTAGAAAAGATTTGATTTTATATTTGATCTAACTGGGTTACATAGGTAATTAATTACTATTGTACATTAAATAAATTAAACACATCACATTAAATTGAAAAATTGGGTTTTAAAAATGTTGCTTACTATACACCTATACTATGTCCACTAAGAGAACGCATCTGGGTGGCGACCAAATGTCGTCCATTTTTGCGCATTTGTCATCCTATTCACATATACCGGTGGTTGTGTTGTGAAAGAATTTAACCACGAAACAGTGGTACTCGTATTTAAATACGCAGTCTAGATGATTTCTCTCGGTGGACGAAACACACATTAAGGGCCGTTTTCACCAACGTAAGAAAGGCCGTTTATCTGATTCTTAAACTGAGTGTATGGAGGATAACCGACCACGACTGGTCGATTATCTTATAAACTTAGTTTAAAAATTAACGTTGATTGGTGGAAACGAGCCTAAGTAGATAGGTATCTCTAAGATACAAACCTTTTATATAGAAAAAAATAATATTTAAAATTTATGTAAAATTTTATGTTTATTACTATTAATTACTACAATAACTTAGTAATTTTTAGTTTCATTAGCAATAAATAACTTTATATTTTGTAATTATTATTCAGCCTGCGGGCATTATTATAATTATTATTATTATCATCTACTACTATGTATGTTTTAAATTTTTTTTTTTCAGCTTTTTTAATAAGTTTAATGTTAGTAAATAGTTTATATCTATTAATAGATTTAAGTAGGTATTTGGTGTGTATATTAATTAAAATAAACGTCGGTGCCCATTTTAATTTTTTATTATTTATTTTACCCATATTACTCTGTGGTATTGACCGTGTTGGTATTGAATGAAAACAAATAGGAGGAAAGTAGATAGATTAAAAGTGTTCTGTTGTAGCATTTTTTCATGATTTTCATACAAAAATTATCTAAACATCGAATTTCGGAGAAAAGAGATTTCAAAAGAAATGAAGCCTAATCTAACGGGGAGTAGGATAGCGCGTATGCTGTATTATATTAGTCACTTGCAGATAGCACGGCATTAATTTTATACCTTTATGTATGTATTTGCCGACAATTTATATTAATAAAAAATTAATAACTCGATTTTCATAATTAGAGACCGGATTTATATGTTCTTAAATCCACAAAAAAGCACTTTAAAACGTCAAAAAGCCTTGAAAAAAATTACTTAAAAATGTATAAGAACGCAAAAATAATAAAAGGGTTTTAATAGTCCTTCCCTTCCTTTACTTTAGATCTGGCTCGGCCTTGCCCATACCAATTTGTATCATTTTTTTTACCCATATTCTTGTTTTGTTTTGACCGTATCATTTATGAATAAAAGTATTCTGTTATGACATATATTTTTAAATTTCAAATTACTATTTGACTTAAGTATTAAATATTTCTGGATACACTACGTTAAGAACCTCACCTTCTGGGGCCAGCAAATTTTTTTTTGCATGTAACACGTGACAGAGCCACATACAATTGACTATGGAAAAACATTGAGCAGTTAGGTCTAAAATTTAAACCAGCAACATTTAATGTTTGACCTTGTGCCTTATTGATGGTCATTGTAAAACATAGTTTTAAACTGAAATAGTAGATTAGTTGTAATCATTGGTAAGACCATTTCTCCAGTTCCGCAACCAGTAAAAATCATACACTCAAGCAAACAGCTCTTTAAAGATTTTATTTGCAATCTTATGCGTTATTAATTACCATAGATACGTTTTGACCAACCTTTTAAATTTTTGTCTATAAAATATATAAAGACAACGTTTATAATATTAGTGCAATGGTATCGAGTTCAAATCTCAGACATAATAATAATTTTTACTAAATATATTATTGAAAAAAAATAATATAAATCAACAAA